TATATCTAATATTAAAAAGCGTGGAGATTCTTCCGTTCATTTTTTATTCCTTACATTGCTCTTGCGTCATCTCCTTATATCTCAACTGGATCTGAACTCACGATACATACAATATCTATATCTATACTCTATAATATATTTATCTATCCCTAATACTAAAGAGATAAAATTTCTGACCACTTTGGATTTTCGTCCAACCTCTAAAGTGACTTGGCTTCGGTCCTCAGCTTTATATGGAAAAAAATACCCCCTCATGTACCCAGGTCCACATCCGGCCTCCGTGATTTATTTCCCTGTCCACACGTCCACGACTAGGGCAACTGCAGCCGCCCTAAGCACCGGTACCCAAGTTTTGCTGAGACCAGGTCACCATGGTCTGCGAGTTCCATGGCATCCACGTTGCCGGGCCAGGATCAGCAGCAACTCTCGTGGCGCCTAGGCCAATCGGCCCTCTCATCAGACTTACGTTTGCTGGACAGAAGGGTCAGGACCTCAGGTACGTAGTGTTTCTTTCGTTTTTTCACAACCGGGCTTTTTATCCGGCCGGTCACACATCTAAACTTTCGTGGACTTTTTTCGATCACAGGAGTTCATCCGAAAGAATGATCTACTGCTGGTTGAAATTAAGCAACCTTATGGATTGAAGAGGAATCTACTGTATTCTGGGATGTCTTGAAAGAACAAATCATCTGGTGCTCGCATATATAATATGCAACAAGGTAATTTGCATCTTAAAAAACAAAATTACTAGATGATCATATGCATAAGCTCATGTTTATAACACCTTTGTTTTCATGCTTTTATTTTCTTTCTTCATTAATTTAACATATATACGTGCAAGTCTGAGGCGAGCACGGACACCATCGGTGATGGCTTCACGTCTATACCAACAACGCCGTCAGGGCACGGTGGCGAACCCGGACGCCATCGACAATGGCACCATAGCTACACCAACGACGCCGCTGCATTGAGGTGACGAGGTCGGATGACGCCGGCGAGCGATTCCATCCACTACGACACTATACGTCATTTCTGCACCGGCAAGGCGGGCGGCTCTAATGTGGCTCCATCTACGTCGTCAACTACCCGCCTTTGACAACGACAAAGGCGGACGATCGTTTTTTATGAATATTCGATAACTTATTTTCTCCCGTTGCAACGCACGGGGCCACCCTAATTTTTCATCCAACTTTACCCTACTAATAATTTCCGTTCACAGCTACTAGCCCGAGTCCAAATCCGATGTGAATCCATATTGGATCTATCACCTCCAAGGCAGAGGCAGGACGCACATCCACCTCCAATAGCAAATCCGCAAGACACTCAATCTTTTTCCATTTTCGTTTCTTTATTTCCTTTTTGTTCAGCTTGCTGATTGGCTCGGCTTCTATTTGCGTTTCCTTTTTTTGTTTACGTTTTTTTCCTGTCCTGTCGGTGATTGGCTCAGTTTCTATTTTCTGATCTTGGTTTTCCTGTTTTCAATCTTTTTTGTTGTTCTTGCTTTTTGAGTCTGATTTTTTACTCGTTCTTTCACTACAATGTTTTTTCTCGTATAAATATAAAAAAACAAATAATATATATAATGTTATAGACTTTTGAACCATTGATCTTTGCCTATTCCTATCTCTAAGAAACAAAAAAATCATTATTAAATCATTGATGCAGTTTTGATTAGACACGAAACTTATATTCTTATTAAAATCTAGATTAGTTAATGGTCCAACTAATCAAATAGTGAATTGAAATCTTAAACAGTTTATTATCTAATTCAGTTTAAATAAATGTACCTCTGCAATGTCTGATAAGAGCTGATATATGAAAATTTGAAAGAGGTCTCCCGTTATAATCATGGGAGAACGTACTGATGCTTGACATGTCCGCAACTATCTCCTTCCAACTTTAATCGAATATGATAACTTATATATTTCTATGGGTGCTCGAAGAAAGTCACAGATCTCAATAGATGTCACAAAAAAGAGCTCAATATATAAGTGTAACACCATATGAATAGTATGGAAATTAAAGTTATAATATATTTAGTCTAAATATTCTTGTGCTTTGCAACGGGAGAAAAAAAGATCTATCAAGATTTTTTTGGTTGGATAACGGTTTAATGGGACATTGTCATATTATTACTAACATTAACTTATATTATGGATGTCACGATGATCATGAAATAAATTAGATTTAAAATTTTATAAGGATAAAATGTAGTCATATCGCATGAACAACCGATTGTTTTGTTTTTCTCCCGTTGCAATGCACGGGCATATTTTGCTAGTAATATTAAAGAGTGATGTGATTCTTCCGTTCTCTTTTTTTTATTTCCCACAATGCCCTCACATCTTTCCTTGTCTCATCTATGGCTCGGACTCACAACCTATGCTCATACGAGTTAGAAACGTGTCCGTTCATGTGTGTCCAATGATGATATGTAGTCTGATTTCAATATATATTGAAACATACAACGTAATTGTTACATAAACCTCCGAAATGCAGGTCGTTTAGGTGACCGCGCAACAAGATATGTGTTCTGTTGCAGCACACATGCACGTTCGCTATCTATACTTACACTACTACACTAAACATTTTTGGAGACGGTCAAAAAGCTTTAACGCGGGCAGGCAGGGCAACCGTATCCAACACCGCGCCTGTGTAAATTCAGATTTATAGAGACAGTTAATAAATAAAAAGTATAAAAATAGTGAGCCTGTCGATGGGCCTGCTGAACCCATCTACAAGGCCTGTCGAGCCCAACGAAACACCGCCACCCCTCCCCGCCAGATCTGTGTGCGCCACAAGCCCCGTCGCCGCCCTTGATCTAAGTTGGCCCCAGACACCACAGCGACCTGGCCTCGGAGGGGACCCGCGCTGCAACCGACGGAGATGGACATGCGCCGCCGCCGCCGCCGGAGAGGGCCTTGCATGAGCACCGCAGCCAGAGAGATGACACGCTAGCTACCAGATCCCGGTCCGCCCGCGCGGGTGCCACTTGATCTTGCGTCGCTCGCGCTCTCACTAACGGATCTCCCCAAGTGCGCGCGCTCGCTACCGGACCTCCGCATGCCCGCACCGCAGCCATCGAGGAAGACACTAATGAGGAGGACAGGACGGTGCATCAGCCATGCAGGGAGGACGCAAAGAGGAGGAGGACAATGGTGGTAGGGGACCTACAGGCGGAGCTGCACTGCAGCCGACAGGTCCACTCGCTGGTGGGGTGGCCACTGACAATGGAGAGGGAAGATGAGATTGGAGGCGTCGGGTGGAGGGTTTTCTGGGGTTAGGGGTTTTTCCGATGAAGTTAAGGTTTTCTGGTGTTATACTGTCTAAAGTCAATACCAGGCTGAGATGGGAAAAGATGAGCTCTACCTCTTTAACTGAAAATAGAGGCCATTTTTAGAGGCGGGCCTACAGTTTTCTTGTGTTATATATACTCTGAAGTCAGTATGAGGCTAAGATGGGCTCGGCGTCTTTCACATAGGTGGACCTCCTCTGAAAATGGAGAGGCGGTCCGCCTTTGTTAAAAAGGCCGTGCCCATCTTAGCCCGGTATTGACTTCAGACCATATAACACCAGAAAACCCTAACTTCATCAGAAAACCCTAACACCCGCTTTTGTTAATTGATTTAAGGAGGTGGTCCTTTACTGGGTGTCTCCTAAAATTATTTGTCCACCACCTCTGAAAATCAGTATGTATTTTAGGTTTCGTGACTGCCTCTGTAAATAAAATGAGTAGTCTTTAAAATCTTTTATGTAGTAGTGTTATATCTATCTATCCATGTACCTTAATATTAAAGAGTGAAATGATTCTTCGTCCTTTATCGCTCACAACTGTCCCAAGGGATCTAATGTACTGTATATATTAGAGTAGGGTGTCCAAGCACGATTTGGAGTTTGATTTCAAAACGAATTAGAATATGGAATATTTTCATGATCCACTCTCTCCCATGCATGTATGAGTTAGTGTTTAGGCATGATATAGAGTCTGATCCTAAAACAAATTAGAATGCATGGCTCGATCATTGATAAATGATATGTAATCCTCTCATGGCCAACGTGATAGATTATTAGGGAGTTCGATTTCTAGATAAATTAAAATGCATAACGTGATCGTTAAATAAATCTTGAAGCCACAAGTCATTAAGGTAACCACACAACAAGCTGAGTTGCATGCACGAGTAAGTTTGCTAATTCTGTCTTAAATCGAATAGTAGTCATTTTGGATGAACATTTCTTTATTAATCTGTACAGGTGTTTGGCGTACATATCGAACGTCTTTACTGTTTCCGTCATCGCGTCACAAAACAAAAACACTAAAAAAATCACGAAAACCCAACACCAACACACACATCCACCTGTAACTCCAGACACCCGGGTTAGACCGTCCGGTACTAGCCGCCCCACTTGTACTACATGTCAAATCTGTGAATAAACAACATGATCAACAACTACATTGTACAATAATGACTAGTAAAATATAGACTTCTTCTGGTCAACTGCTCCCACTATTATTAGACAAATCTATACCCTTTTTATTACTCACTCCTTTCTATGCTGCTGGTAGCGTGGCTGTCCAGGTCCACAATCAGCTTCATCCTTTGTTCCACAAAGACGAAGGCACAAGCCCACAACCTCTTCTTGTTCGCCGTTGACTCGTCGAGTGGTGGTCTCTGGTCTAGGGCCTTGTAGCATCGTTCCTTAGTCCTTAGTCCTTACGGGATCCAACTCCAGAACTACTACTCCGCCTTGGTTGACAGTGGCTTCAACTTGGCCAGAAGCCCAGATCTGCAGCAGCACATGCCTGTTTTCTAGCTTCCCCATTTTCAGGTATCAGCTCTCGTCAGTTCACAGTTTGTTCAAATGTTGGTTCCATGGTTCAGATTGTTGACATGAAAATAATTAACCTCTGATAATTGGACTGATTTGTGAGATTTAGGTTTATATAGGTCACGAGCTTACACTGGTGACTCTAAGCACTGAAGCAAGCGCAGGTAACCACCATGGCGGAAGCCGTCGTGGGAGTGCTGATCGGCAAGCTAGGTGCAGCCTTGGCGAAAGAAGCAGCAACCTATGGAGCATCCCTGCTTTGCAAGGAAGCTTCAGCCCTCAAGGGTCTTTTTGGCGAGATCCGCAAAGCTGAGAAGGAATTTGAGAGCATGAAGACCTACCTGCGTCAGGCAGAGAAGTTCAAGGATACTGATGAGACCACTGGCATCTTCACCAAGAATATCAGGTAACTATCATTTCAGATCGAGGATGTTATCGATGAGTTCATGTTCAAGCTTGAGGCCGACAAGCATGGAGGATTTGCAGCCAAGATGAAGAAGAGGATCAAGCATCTCAAGGTTTGGCACCGTCTAGCTCACAAGCTCCATGATATCAATGCTGAGCTTGAAGAAGCTGCAAAAAGGAGGGCCCGTTATGACATCCCAGGAATGCAGGGACACACTGGGAGCAGTGACCATCATGCCAGATCCACCAATCAAAATTTTTGTTTTGCAAGGGAAGATGATGTAGTGGGTATTGAAGATAATGCAACCAAGCTCAAGCAGTGAATAATAGGTGATCTAGAAGAAAAGAACTACAAAATAGCCACAGTGTGGGGAATGGGTGGCGTAGGTAAAACCACTTTGGTCAAAATTGTGAAACTGGATTTTGATGCAGCAGCCTGGGTAACAGTGTCAAAGAGTTACCAGTTTGAAGACATGCTAAAGAGAATTGCTAGAGAGTTTAGCATCGTAACTGATGCTACTAACATGGAAATTAGAGGTTTAGTTGAGATCATCCGGAAACATCTTGAAGGTAAAAGGTATATCTTGGTTCTTGATGACGTTTGGGAAAAGGATGTATGGATTAACAATATCATGGAAGTCTTTCCAACTAATTGTACCAGCCGGTTTGTTCTCACATCAAGAAAGTTTGAAGTTGCATCATTGGCAACTAGCAATTGCAGAATTGAGCTGGAACCTCTAGGAGATAAGCACTCTTGGGAGTTATTCTGCAAAGCAGCTTTTCGGAATAGTGATGACGAAAGGTGTCCGTCAGAGTTACAGGATTTGGCTGTAAAGTTCTTACAAAAGTGTGAAGGCTTGCCTATTGCCATTGCATGCATAGGACGTCTATTGTCTGTCAAACAACCAACATACTCTGAATGGGATAGTGTGTACATGGAGCTAGAATTGCAGTCAAATAATAATGTGATCCAAGGAGTCGATAGTATTCTAAAAGTAAGCTTGGAGGACCTTCCGCATGAACTAAAGAATTGCTTCTTACATTGTGCAATATTTCCTGAGGATTATAAATTGGGGAGGCGAAGATTAATTAGGCACTGGATTACATCTGGATTCATCAAGGAAAAGGAGAACAACACACTAGAACAAGTGGCAGAGGGATACTTGAATGATCTTGTAAACCGAAGCTTGCTACAAGTCGTGATGAAGAATGAATTCGGACGACTGAGGTGTTGCCGAATGCATGATATCATCCGCCATTTTGCCCTTGACAAAGCTGCAAAAGAATGCTTTTGTACAGTTTATGAGGGCCATGGGACATTTTCAGTACATGAAACACGCAGACTGTCAATAAATAGCACCAATATTGTACCGCTGAATCAATCTGGTGTGATGCAGCTCCGTGCAATCTATGTTTTTACAAGTTTTGTTGATATCGATTTGTTGAGGCCTATCCTTGCGTCCTCAACATTGTTGTCAACATTGGATCTTCAAGGTACTAAAATCAAGATGCTCCCTAATGAGGTCTTCAGCTTGTTTAATCTGCGTTTCTTGGGTCTCCGTTATACGGGAATTGAGACTCTACCAGAGGCTGTTGGAAGATTGCAAAACTTAGAAAGTACTAGATGCATTGGACACTGGTCTACTATCTTTACCAAAGGATGTAGGAAAACTGAAGAAGCTTAGGTACCTATATGCAACTGTAAGTGTCCATGAAGGATCTTTCTGGCGTCAGGGTGGATTAAAGGTGCCTAGGGGCATAATAAAGAACCTGACAGGACTGCATGCTCTTCAAAGGGTTAAAGCTAGCTCAGACTCTCCGTGATGTTGCAGCTTTGACGGATTTACGAACATTTGCCGTTGATGACGTGACAAGTGAGCACTCGTTAGTCCTGCGCAGTGCTCTCCAGAACATGAGCAGTCTTGTCAATTAATATGTCAAACGAAAACGAAGCGTTGCCAGTGGAACAACTTAGTTTACCAGAAACTCTTAGTAAACTTGAACTGGCAGGGCAGCTGGAAAAGAAACGGATGCCTGAGCTTCTCTCCTCCTGGTTGCACCTTAACTATCTCACTTGTTTATCTCTGGCGTTCTCTAAACTTGATGAGAACTCATTTCCTAACCTCATGGTGTTGCGTAATTTATGCTCACTTAATCTTAATAAGGCTTACGAGGGAAAGACATTATGCTTCTCCGTACAGTCATTTCCTAGACTGAGAGAACTATATATATGGGATGCTCCGCAACTCAGCCAGGTAGAAATAGAAGAAGATGCACTGGGATGTCTGGTTAAGCTATGGTTTGCAGGGTGCCCAGAACTGAAGCGCCTCCCTCGTGGCATTGAGTACCTTACCACGCTCGATGAATTATATTTGGAAGATGCTGCTGATGAGCTTATAAAGATCATTAGGCAGGAAGGTGAAGCAAATGAATGCAAGGAAGAGCTAATGAAGATTAGCCACATTAGAATGGTTGATTTTAAATCAACTGAGAAAAACTTTTGGCAAAGAATTGTAAATAGAGAAGGGAATGCATTCGCTGGCTGAAGGCTTGGATCCTAGCTGCTATTTCCGGAATTCACATACAAGGTATGGGTTTTATGCTCCTTCTTGCTGTTGGACCGGCCAGAACACTCTGCCATTCCTAACTAAATGTCTCGTTGATATCATTTTCATCAGGTTGCTGCTGCCTTTGTTGGTCTGCTTTGGACTTTTGGTGGTTCAGTTCAGCGGTTGGTGGACATGTATTGAGCTAGGAATCGAGTAAGCACAGGACATCCGCCCATCAGCAAGGGAAGTCCTGAATTCCGTATGGGTGCAGATTGCATAATAGAGTGTCTACGAATTTATAAATCGGTTTGCGAATTAAGCGGAAACACTGTTGTAATTTTATTTACTACGTCATGTTGTCTTTTATGGGTGAGGCATCTCCCAGGTTTGTAATAAGCTTGTCAGACGCTTTACTTCTCGTTTTGCAAAGCATAACTTTTTTCATCTGTGGATGCTTTCTGTTGGGTGTGGAACCAAAACTTTAAGTTCCAATCAGCAGTATGTTTATGAATAATTTGATCCAATCAATGGAATATAATGGGTGTGATTAGCCTAAAAGGTTACTCCTATCGCATTACAATTTTAGTTGTTTTAAAGGATACACTGTAATAGAATCCAATAGCCAAATTAGTATCTTTAGGCTGCGCGCTGTTCAGAGTTGGCAATTGTTATGTTCTTTTTAGTTGGTAACCTGAGTACATGGCTTCTTTTCTAGCTATATGGAGATACCCTGCCGTTAGTTACTTAATAAATATACAAGAATGTGTTGTACTAAAGCAAAGCATTTAGTTTTTCGATGCATTAACCAAATGAATCGAATGAGGTGACATAGAATGCCTTGGTACACTGCCTAGAAGGTTTCAAAGAGTTAGCATGACTCTAAGCATCGGTATCAAATTTTCGGCGTGCATTGCCCAGGGTTGTTTGGGTCTCTGTCTCGTCTATCAAGAATGGCCTATTTTTTTATTCTTTATTTTTAGATGCAGAGTAAATATAATGGCGTGGTTGTCAAAATTCCAATTCGGCTTAATAATCTTGGCAAAAAGGCATGATTAGTCATTGACGTCAACATTTCTATGACTTGCACGTTTAAAGTCTTGTGATTTGATTGCACACGATTTTGATAACCGTACATTAGGGGCAATGGGTGTGAACCGTGTCTCTTGATATCGCAGACGTGGCCAATGAAGTTGCAGTGTTGGAGGGCCGAGTTCATAGCCTGTTCGGCAGGCTAGGCTTGCTCGTTCACGAACCAGCAATGATCCATCCTAGCCAAACGATTCCTCGTTTTCCGAATGTTTCACTGCCTGAGAGTTTCACCGGTTCAAAATTTTCATGTCCGTTTATGGCTGCAGGACACAAAAATAGAAGTGGATTCTAAAAAAAAACGATAAAAGTACTGAACCACCTTCCTTTTAGGTGGGGCCAGCGTGTAAGTGACGTATCCACCCCTATCTTGCTCTGGGTGGCTCCGCTCCCATGGCCGCCGCCGCCTCTCTCCACCCCATCCACCTCCCTCTTTCCCACTCCCACTCCCACCCATGCCAACCCCGGCCCCGGGCCTCCTCCGTAGGTGCAGCACCAAGCCCGCCCCACTAGCTAGCCCCAGCTCCATACCAAAAAGGCACTCTCCTCTCTCCTGCCAGCCGCAGGGTCATGGAGGAGCCTATGGAGCATTGCAGTCGCCTGGGGTGGTGCGGGACTACGGCCACTGCCGCCTCGTCGACTCCATTGGCGCGCTCGACCCGGCGGCCGGCGCTCCGGAGGCTCTCCGACGAACAGGTGGCGTGCGGCGGTGCGATTCAACGGGTGGTTTGTCGATACAGCGTTTGCTAATGGTTCTCCGTGTTCGGCTTGGCTGATGTGGACTAAATGCTGGTTCCTGTGTTCTTGAAGGCGGAGTTCCTCTCTCTCGCCATGTTCAACCCAGAGGTGTTTGCCGTGGTGCTTATGTGCTAGGTGTTTGTCGATATAGCTTTTGCTAATGGTTCTACGTGCTCGGTTTGGCTGATGTGGACTAAATGTGCGTTCATGTGTACTTGAACGTGGAGTTCCTCTCTCTCTCTCCGTGTCCAACCCAGAGGTAAGGATGAAAACGGTTGGAAATGGTCGAAAAACTCATAAATTGTTTTCTATTTTTACATCTGAAATACGAAAACGAAAGCGAAAACGATAAAACCGGACACGAAAACGAACGCGAACTTACGAATTATCAAGAATTTTGAAAACGAACTAATTTGAGCGGATTTATGTCGAACACGGTCGATATACGAAAACTCAATACGGAATATCGACCCGTAGATCAAGTACATGACTAAGTGCATACATGATCAAGTTCAAGTGCATATAATAATTAACAAGTGCATATTATAGAAATATGAACTCGAACTGAGTCAGAATAATTTTATTAATCTTTTTAGAATATATGTAGTATTTTATTTTAAAGATTTATTCAGATTTTTCTTTTGAGTAACAAAGATTTATTCGGCTGGTGCAAAAAATATCAAATGATTGACTTTGCAGGTGGGGGTTAAACCGATGAGCTTGATGGGCTCTGGCCCAGGTGGGCTTTCGTATAGATGCTGCTGATTTCCTGACATTTAGCACCATCTCATGAGGTGAAGAGAGATGAGGCTGGGCGCCGTCTATAAGAGAGGGCAGCTGGCCACCAGTAGAAAGAACGCAGCTGCGTAGTGAACAAGCTGTAATTGTGATGTATGACCTGTGCAGTTGGCCAAATTCGGTTTAAACCGAATTTTCAATTCGGAATATTTCAAATTAAAAGTAGAAAAGTAGAAAACTGTCGGAAAATGTCTAAACCGTTTTCTACTTTTACATTTGAAATATGAAACATCTGAAATGCAAAAGCGAAAACGGTAAAGTCGGACAAAAAAATACGGATTCGATCGGATTAAATATAGAAAACGATGCGGTCCGGTTTGAAATATTTCCGTTTCGTTTTCATCCTTACCCACAGGTGTTTGCCGTGGTGCTTATGCGTGAGGCGTCGATGGTGATTGGGAGTTGGGGTGTGGCATATTTGGTCTTTTGTCCTCTCCCAGGTCTGTAATCCCAAGTGCCAGAGCCTTTAATTTTCGCTGGAAATTAACATGCTGTATCTTTGGTTTCTCTGAATGTGGTATATGGTGTGTATCTTTGGTTTCTCTGAACCTGGTATATTGGTGTCACAGAGACAGGGCAGTTGGTCGTCTCGTATCCTGCAAGTCCTTCAGTTTGATCTGATAAATGAAGGAAAATGTCCTTTCTGCCTAACGTGCCTAGCACATGCTCAATAAGGTACTCATTTTATACAGCTTTCTGGGAAGTGGTGACATGTTATTATAATAGTTCTATAAAGAGTTAAATGAATCTTAGGTCTATTAATTTTGGATAGTGTGTCATTTAGGTTCATCAACTTTTAAACTATATTTTTGAGTTCATTAACTTTTGGTGGTGTGTCATCCAGGTCTATCAACTTTCAAATTACATTTTTTGGTCCATAAACTTTTTAACTGGTTCACCGTAGGTTTATACCTCTTCGTTTAGCGAATAGATCTGATATGACACGCCAAATAAGCAGCCACCGTGGACTAGGCGATGAGTCCATAGCTTCTCAAGATGTTCATGGAGACTTGTCTAGCAATAATTCAAATGTAATAGCTGGTAATTCGTTAATATCCTCTAGTCTTAAATTTGGGACTATTATTTTTAAGGATCAATATATTGTGGACATGGAGAAATTTACAACTGCTGGGCTGTCATCAAAGATATTTTATAGAGGTGCCTTATTATTACGTGGAAAGGAGGAGAAAATAAAGCCAACAAAATACACCAGTACTAATTTTAAAGAGGTGGAGATCATCAATGGAATTTTCTCAAAGTGATTAGCATCCTTGCCGTAGTATTTTATTATTTTCATGCGTTAGATTCCTATCCAGTTGTGATACACGATCTTTTATCTAGCATGTAGCTTTTAGTGCCTGCGTGCACCTGTGTACGTGAATCAAATTGGTGGTCGCATTTGGACGTGCCATGCATGTTAGCCGAATCAGGGACTAAGGGGCAATCGGTCCTAGTGGGGCTGGTGGAGTCTGAGTTTCATTTTGGTCAGGTGGCCTACGTGCCTATGAGCCTGTTCGGCAGGACTTAAAAATAAGCCAAAATACTATTCCGGCTAATTATTGTAAGGGAAAAATACTGTTCTATCTGAAAACACTGTTCACATGAACAGTGCCGCTGTGAGAGCGCTGGCCAACCTAGCCCCAGCCGGCCAGCCTGCCGAACGCGGCCTATACCTGTGGCCTTCGGCCTTGTACCGGGTAGATTAGATTGGATTTTATTGTGGAGTTTATTCCCCGTCGAGCCGCCGCTCGAGAAACCCTAGATGGTAATTCTATCAGGTTCTTCGTATTGAAGATTATCTCCGGATGGTGATCTCGTCCTGTACTCCACGGTGGCTGCTTTTTTGACGTGACATGTCAGATCTACTCGCTAAACGAAGGGGTATGAACCTACGGTGATCCAGTTAAAAAGTTTAGGGACCCAAAAATGCAATTTAAAAGTTGATGGACCTGGATGACACACCACCAAAAGTTAATGGACCAAAAAAATGCAGTTTGAAAGTTGATGGACCTAGATGATACACCACCAAAAGTTAATAGACCAAAAAATACAGTTTGAAAGTTGATGGACCTAGATGATACACCACCAAAAGTTAATGGACATACAGTGTATTTAACTCTTCCATAAATGTATGGTCTGTTTCATTTTCTTCAGGTTGTTGATGCCTTGCTTGCTCTGCCTTTTTTTAACGAAATGCTTGCTCTGCTTTGGTGGCACAGTTCAGTGGTGCCTTGTGGCCTTGTGCTGAGTGCTTTGGGGAGATCTAATGATGATCTGCTGGGTTCCTGCGAGAACGTTGCACAGTTTGGTGGACTGCTCTACACTTACACTGTACTCTACAAGTCTAAATGCTAAGGGGAATTTTGCTCAGGGAC